TCCCTCACCTTACCCGGCCTGTCTAGGTAAGCAGGTTCGAGTCCGGCGCCAGATATGTGTTTGTATGTTACCCACTTTGCCGCAGAATGTACGGAATGGCATAAATACATGCTTTACTATATTACTATTTATATTCTAAGTTTCAACCGACTTCAAAAATAGCGAGGTTTTCAATTTGATTATATTTTTTTTTACGTTTGTTACATCATAACTCTGTCAGTTGTAAACAGATTTGGATTTTTTTTTATTTGTTTTTTTTTTATAACACAGGGGGCTCGTTTGCCTTTACCTGATGGTAACCGACTACCGCCGACATAAACATAATGGATTACATTATACCTATTTACCCAATTTTAATGTAAAGTTTATTCTTGCACTTTATATCTTATTATTGTTATCTATGTATTATAACACTAATTGGTTGCCTTGTATTTGTGTAGTCCATGGAGATGGGGCACTGGTGACTTGTAACACGGGTTCTTCAAAACCTACCGCAAGCGCCAGTCTCTCGGAAAATTGGTCTTACATATCAAATTGTACCTCAAGTTGTCACTTTATACTACCTTTCGTGAAGTGAAAATATACCATTCATTCATTCATTTAATACGTAATACCATTTCTAAGTCGGTAATTAGAGGCATGAAGAATAAGTCCGGATAACCAAATATTCGGATTATTTCGGATAATCGAGATTCTACTGTAATAAGGTTACAAAAAAAACAATCAAAATCGGTTCAGAATGGACAAGGTAATCGCCTAACTAAGCCATAAAAGACCGAATAAATTGAGAATTGAATCTTTTTTTAATTAAACTTAACTCTTTTTTTCATGATTTTTTTTTTATTGTTAAAATAAACCAAGGTGATATAATTCATGTTCAAAAATTAAAGGAAAAATGGTTAAAAAAATCAATTTGACAGCTATGTTTTTTTTTTTCTGCAATGGACATTAAAAAGGTATTCAGACACGATCAACTTGAAGTGAACTTGTTCTTTTATATAATTTTTGGGCGTTCAATGTTATGATGGAAATTTCCACCATTATGCAAAGAAGGGTTAAAACATAGTCATAGTTACATACTCGAGAAGGTTGAAACAGTAATAAATATCAACATAGAATAAACAAAGGCAGTTTAAGTTGCTAGTTGCATACAATACACAATGCCCACTGGCGACCTTGCTGGTGTAGTGGTCTGACACACCGCCTCGCCTCCCAATGGCCGTGGATTCTATCCCCGAAAAAATCTAATATTTATCTATATATATACAGAAAATATAGTCCGGTCGCTACAATATTTATAATTCCAGAACAGCTGGACAAATTTTAATGAATTTTCGAATTGGTTGCTGAAGAGCACAATAACTATTAATATATTAAGTATTATATATATATATATATATATATACTTTCCTGGTTACTCTGTTTGAGTCATAGATTGTCTTATTTGCACTTTTAATACAGTTACTTTATATATATATATATATATATATATATATATATATATAAAGTAGAGATGTATATATATATATATATATATATATATATATATATATGTGTATAAAGTAACTGTATTAAAATTAATTGTTTATAATATATGAATATATTAAATATTACATTTTATATTTCCTCTATTCAATAATGCACCGCCTACTTATTTCTCTGTTCGCCCAATGGTCGACTGGTAGAGAACACCGTCCGGTGTTAAGTCCGCCATATGTACATAGACAAGTATGAACTAGTTGACCGCCTGCCTGATGGAAGGTGGTTAAATTTGTCTATAGACGTGAACAGTATCATGGCCATTACAGACTATACTGTGACGTCCTTGATACCCATGATAATCCATGAATGGGGATTACTACCCCCACTGCTAGCAATACAACCTGTCAAGTCGACCTCCTCGCGGTTTCTCCTGGAAACCATAGTGCTCAGTTCCATGTGAATTTACCATGATAAGCTAAGTGTCCTGCTTTCATCCTCACCTATCATCGCTAACTGGTGCCCCGCCAGTGTATACCGATAGCGCAGGCGGAGTTTTTTCTTTTTAATGGGTGATAATGGAATGGTAACCCCACCTGCGCTATCGGGATATGCGCTGGCAGGGCACCAGGGAGGGATGATAGGCGAGGATGAAGCAGGTCATTTGCCCATCGTGACGAATCCAACAAGAATTGTTCACGATGGTTTCCAGGGGGAACCACGTGGAGGTCGACCTGATATTGCTAGCAATGGGGCTATCAAACTCCATTGCTTACAATCCCTTTCCCCCGCGCAGGCGGGGTTACCACATCATTATCATCCATTAAAAAAAATCGTATTTAGTTAAGACGTAAGTTACCACAGACAATACATATATGGGTAAAAGTTCTAATTTCAAAATACCAACCGGTTGTTACATCAATGTTAGTAAACCTATTCGTAAATGTCCATCTTTAGTAAGTTAACATCCCACATGTGTTTCTACCGTGAAGCAGTTGTGTTTGCATGGCTGTGTTTCGGTTTGAAGGGTGGGATATGGCGTGAATTTACAGGGTACAGAGAAATAACACCTGAGTCCTCAGGAATGGCAACGCATGGGGGGTATCATGGGCGAAACAGTATAGTCTGTTATGTCCATGGTACTGCTCATGTCTATAGGCGACGGTTACCACTTTCCATCAGGTGGGCAGTCAGCTTGTTTGCCATTCTAAGTTGTATAAAAAAAAGAATGCTCTCAACAATAAGACCGCTTTACTGTACATATACAACTGTATCGTTACATTTATTAATTGTCTCGCTTATTCCTCATATATTTTTTTTTAGTGGGTGATAATGAAATGTTAACCCCACCCGTGCTATCGGTATACACACAGGCGGGGCACCAGTGAAGGATGATAGGTGAGGATGAAGCAGGTCAGTTAGCCCGTCGTGACGAATTCAACAAGAATTATTCACGATAGTTTCCAGGGGGAACCACGTGGAGGTCGTATTGATAGGGTATATTGCTAGCAATGGGGCTGTCAAACTCAGTTGCTAACAATCCTTTTCCCCTCTATTCCCTATATTGTATAATGCAAATATACTCATTCATTCATTCATTTAAAGTTCTCAAAAATATAAAAAAAATGGGCATTGCATCAGTGGACAGACTATATGATACAAAAATAAAGGCGATTTCAAAAGTCTCTCCTTTTTGAAATCGGTTAAAATACGTGTTTGGCGTAAGTACACACGTGTGTGGGAAGGTAAGTAATTTATTTTCGTTACATCAAATTGTATTAAAATGCAAAAAATGCTGATGTATTACAATGGATTACAGGGTAATAAAATTATTTACGACTGTCACCTCTGTACTCTGTACTTGTGTGTTCCAATTATTCTATATTAACTCTATCCCGTGGCTGTATATCTGTCACGCTTGTTTCCCATTAGGGTAGGCAGAAACAATGGAATGCCAAATGCTTCGATTTAAACAAAACTCTTTGTAGCGTCGTTAGAGGCGACTATAGGAACTTAATGGTGGAGGCCTAATAAAGGAATGAACACCAAAGTCTAACTGGATAGCAAAGGCAGACTATGGGGGAGCCTAGGTAGGTAGGCCTTCAGTAGGGGATAGTTTTTTTTAATGGGTGATAATAGAATGGTGACCGCGCCTCCGTTATCAGGATACGCTGGCGGAACACCAGTGAGGGATGACAGGTGAGGATGAAAAGGCAGGTCAGTTAGCCCATCGTGACGAATTCAACAAGAATTAACCATGAAGGTTTTCAGAGGGAACCGCGTGGAGGTCGACCTGATAGGGTATAATTGCTAGCAATATATTCTATTAGACCCCATTGTTAACAATTCCTTTCCCCCCAGTAGTGGATAGTTCACGGCTGATATGGTGCCGATGATCTCCTAAATCAGTATATAAAATATCTTATATCTTAAGGTGACTAAGGGAGGGCGAGGGATGGGCAGCAGCGTCCCTCTTAAAACATCTCCAAAGCCTAACTGCGGTTGCCAATCCACCTGCCAACCGTAGAAACTACTGGCATAACCCCCACAAGGTGGAGGATAATGTCCAGCAGTAGGCAGTTAAAGACTGATATGACGATTATGATTTGCTAAGGTAACCGTACAGGAAACATGGCTCGCTGAGTAACTTGGAGCTTTTACATACTGCTTGCTATTATTGCTATGGAGAGGGCTACGCTCGGAGTTTCTTTCTTTTGACAGAATTCGAAAGGAGGATATCCGAAAAAGAACCAAACTGAAGGATGGCAGGTAAGGACGAAAGCAGGGGATCTATCATGAAATTAAATTCCGAATTTTCGGACTCATTTTTGTGTTTTTGTTCATACTGATATCAGCCAGTAAATGTAGCGTAACATTTCGTTGGTCATAAATCTTATTATAAAAGTCCAAAGGAACGGACGGAATATATATATATATATATATATATATATATATATATATATATATATATATATATATATATATATATTTTTATACAACTGAATGGCAAACAAGCTGACGGCCCACCTGATGGAAAGTGGCAACCGTCGCCTATAGACGTGAACAGTACCGTGGACATAACAGAGTATACTGTTTCGCCCATGATACCCCCATGTGTTGCCATTCCTGAGGACTCAGGTGTGATTCCTCTGTACCCAGTAAATTCACGCCATATCCCACCCTTCAAACCGAAACACAGCCATGCAAACACAACTGCTTCACGGTTGAAACACGAATGGGACAGAGGTACCCAAGCAATCGACTTTTGTACAAAGTCTCTCTCTGGTAGATTATATAATGAAAATGTAATTTTTTAAATGTAATTTGATATAACAGTTCCTTTTCACTGATGTCTTAAAGGATTTGGATGTATGGAATATTATTAGAAACCATACATCATCCAGATTGACACTGGCTACATTATCACTGGTCGTGTTTTGCTGAGCAATCGGGTTTTTTTTTTATTTACGGAGAAAAATATATTTATTTGGTGGCTCATCATCATCACCATCTTTCTGTCCTTATCTCAAATATTTGGGGTCGGTGTAATATGTTTTTATTTGTATTACACAAGACCTTGGCTTCTGGTTTCTGTCGGCCTGTCTGACCTCAACCCTATTTGGGAATGCATTTGTTGGTGGTATCCGCCACCTGCAGTAAGGATGAAAGGTTTAAGGAAAAAAACAGGAGACATTGGGAATAAGTAAAGCAAGTTGGTAAAGAAAGAAAATGAATAGAAGTAAATCTGTCACTAAATAATATGATTCATTTGATAAGTACTTGCAAGAAAATGAGATGTTACATTAACGATCAGCTTGTCAAGAAGACATTTTTAAAAAATTGCCGCGTTGATGACTGTAAAAATGGTGCAATAAAAAAAGTAACTGCCCGTAGACCACATCGGTGTAAAAACAAAAACACTGGCAGGTTAACATGGGAACAAAATATTAATGTCGCTTAAAAAAAAGAGTGCACGATCGGCACCGCGGCGAGAATGCGTTCTATTTTTAAAACGCTGTCAATTTTAATTTTTTCCCGCCATCATGTCCGCTACCATGAAACACGTATTCGATTTTCAAACGATAGCATTATTTCGATGCTGCATCGATGGGAATTCTCATGGACAGGTTTATTTGCAATCCCTAAGCATTACTTACTTATATCTGTCGACAGACAGTATTTATTGCTTGTCGATAAACACTAGTATTTGTGGCTTTGAGCTTATAATAATTTAATACATGGTTGCTACTAGTTATACGCTTAGATTATATCAAAGATTATATAGATAAAGCATCAAGTGTAAAAAAGGACAACTTTTAGTAAGCCATACTTATAATTGGCAACACATATCTTTTTTTCTAATCAAAACATATGCATTCCTTTTCAGTGTTGCAAGTAAAAATAATAACTTAGATTAAAAACTTCCCAGATCAGAATGATTTTTAAATTAGAATTGGGAAATATTTTCTGATATAATATACAAATATATGTGCATATTACTTACAAATGTATTGATTAAAATGGCGGCCATTTTCAATTATTTGAAAACGAAAACATAAATTTATGTCTACATACTTAAATATAAATCATAGTTTTTGCAAAAATATGCATTGTTATGAATGATTGTGAAGAATTTATCTGGGTTTTTCAAATATAAGATTTTTGTATTTTTTTAATTCAATCTAATAAAATATGCTTTCTCCCTTACTATTCGGTAATAAATTTACATTATGGTAACCCTATTCACGCAGCATAGATGAAAAAAGTTGATCTGTTTTTGCCGTAGCAATTGTATGGAGACACTATCTATATAATCTAAGTTACTACGTCATTTATTTTGTACTATCTCTTTGCTAGTTACTTCGTAAGCGTGAATTTAAGAAGTATGAAATTTGCATATTGCATAAAATATATTATTTCTAGACGGTATATCAAGATAAGCAATCTCTTACATTCGATTACATTGTTATAATTTATCTACACTAATATTATAAAGAGGAAAGATTTCTATTTTTGTGTGTATGTATGTTTGTAATTAATAAACTTAAAAACTACTTTGCCGATTTCAAAAATTCTTTTACCATTAGAAAGCTACATTCACCCTGAGTAACATAGGCTATATTTATTGCTAGAAAAGATTAGGGATCCTTACTAAAACTTTAGTAACGTAACTGAAGGTGTAAAAAATGCTATAAAATATCTTTCGTCGCGTGCGCTGCGGAAACTATTGGTGATAGAACAAAAGTATGTTCTACAGTATTGAAGAAAATATCAATAACTACAAAAAACTTCGCGACACTATATGTCCAACTATTATCGTTATGTCACAATAATAAGTTTTTAAAATGTTGTAAAAATGTCCACCCGTGCGAAGCCGGGACGGGCTGCTAGTTTTGAATAAAATAACTGGCGAACTTAATTCTGTAACAGTTTTTTTGGAGCAAACCCCGAGTTGAAAGAAGCACTAATTAGCAGCGGGCAATGTGCGTACAATAAGGAGAGGAAACAGTATTGTTTTTTTTTAGTCAAATATCAAATTTCTTTCCCCGAATCCATACGATTTTCTTCGAGAATTTTTTTCCCAACATTTTGCGATCTTAAAAATTTTTTCTTAAAATTGGGGAAAAATATCCAATCTGGCAACGCTGTCACTAGTTGTCATTGCTAACAATCCTCTCTCCTCTCGTCTCTTCCCCCGAAATAGAGGTCGCCTTGTTCCAGTTACTGATAAGATCAAACAATACTCGTTGGTTTTATATGCGAACTAAAATAAGTGAGTGTCGAGCTTTAGAACAAAACAAATTAAAAAAAAAGGTGATATATACGTATGTGTTATTTGATTTTATCGCTTTAGAAAAAAACCGGAGCCGAATTGAGCCGAACGGAGTCGAATGGAACCGAACAATTCGAACGAAATCCAATGGCAATAAACAGAACGGATGATAGGTAAGGATGAAGAAATGAGAATTTAGAGCAAGAGACAAAACAGAGGGCCTACCATGAAATGTTTTTCGAAATTTCGGAGCCAAACGAAACAGAAATTTGATGTTAAAATTACATAATACATGCCGTTTGGAAATATTAAAAATGTTAAAATATTGTTCCTTTGGACTTTTATGATAGGATGTATGACGAAATGTTAAACTCGTGAAGGCGCGTAAAGAGGTGTCTTCAGTATTTGCCACCTCAGTGGTATAAAAAAACAGTCATGCAAGCACATTGCTTCAGGGTAGAAACATTAGTGGGACGTGGGTAGTCATACAAAATTGCAGAAGACTTTTGTGCAAAGTCCAAGTAGTGCGATAACAAAATAATTCAAATTTGGAATATGTCCGTTGACAACAATGTGCAATAAATATTCCCCAGAGAATTTAATCTCGAACAATTGTTATTTAAACTCAAAAATGACAACCTTATTCGTATTAGTTTAAAATTCAAATCGCTTTGAAGTCCCAAGATTTACAATACAGCGATTTATCGATAATCGTTCGACAGTATTTACATGTACTAAGAAATAGTGATGTGACATATATATTTATATAATTTATTCACGACTTTGGTCGACATATAAAAAATCTTTCGCATCCTATAGGCCAGTGTTTCCCAACCTTTTTTGTGCCATGCCCCACTTGAACAATTCTAAATTTTTTATGCCCCCATATATAATTTTTGCCGACAAAGTTTACTTGACGATCAAATTGCCCAGTTGATATTTTAGTAACGTCAAAAGAAATTATATCTAATAAGTATTTACAGCATTTTTTTTATTTACTTGTTTTGTTAAATCTGGCACCGATATCTACTCGTAGCATTGCATTTAAATGGCCCGAAGCAAGAGGGTTGAAATCGCTTCAAGTCCATTTTTAATTGGCCCCCTGTGGGGCGTAGGCCCCACGTTGGGAAACCCCGTTATAGGCCATTGTTGTAGGGAAATAGTCGCGAAAATTGCACGATATTTATTATAAATTTTCGTTTACATGTTTTGTATTATCTAAAAGCGATTGGCGAAAGAATAATACTGTTGCTTCTCTATAGCAATTTGGGATCTAAAATTATTATTATGAATTAGTTCTGTCTACTCATAAAAATTCACGCGGGCAAAGTCGCGGGTTATAGATAGTCACCTATAGATACTTCCAACTAGCGGCTTCTTTGCATGCTGTGTTCTAGTTCGAAGGGTGAGATTATGGCCGTGAAATTACAGGTTACTATGACTCAAGAATTTCATGTCATAAGACGAGTCTGGCTCTAATATTGCATGTGTTCTATACGTATATTTATTTTTTATACAGCTTGTTATAGGATAAACAAAAGCGGGACAGAATTACTCATGCAGACGATATTTGTACACAGTCTTCAGTATCTAGGTTAATTTATAAATATATAAAATAAATACATTCTACTAATAAATCAATCGATTATAAATACATATATTATGGTACTAATATGCTGCAATTATAAATCGAGTTCATTCCCATCACTAGCGTATGAGACAAAACAAAGATTAACAAGTGACCGGCGCACTATTCCCGGAATTTTACTTATTGTTGTGTTCATAATTAATGGCACGGCATGTTCTTAAGAGCTTAAACAGTGGAACGTTAAATATTTTCTAATGACCGGACATCTCGGGCGAAGATTAAGGTTTCAATGGGAAAATCGCTTTAAACGGCGACCAGAGACTAAAGAGTGAAATGGAGGCCATTAAAAAATGTTTTAGTGGTGGAAGCAGTTTTTATGGGTACCTACTACTTGGAAATGAATATAAAACGATTGGTTACTTGGCTGTGTGGTGACCACTAAGCTAAACGACAATCTTCTGTAACGTGTAAACGTACCTAATTTTATAAATTCATAACCATAGACAAATTTCCGCCAAAAAGTCAAAAAGTTTTAATTAATAGTGACTTCCAAAAGGAATTGAGAGAGGTCACTTCCAAAGATTACATTCACATTAATTTTGTCACAATTTAAGTATTTTATTTTATTTGCGAAGCAATAATTTATTAACGCGATTAATTTCCATAACGTTGTGATCAAAACTTTGCACATGTAAAATAAATCAGACGCCATATTGATTTATGATGGTCATAGATGAATAATACCCATGTGTAGATTAATAAAAGGGCGCGCTTTTGAATAATGAGTTTGTGTAATCCTGAATTGAATACGTATCATATTTCATATTTTTATTCAAAATTTGATATAATCACAAAAAAAAAAAAAAATGTTTTTGCAGTGGCTTAAAATACAGATGATATGAGAATCTCATTCTATTAGATGGGAAGTCACTTAAGTAAAAAATCCAATGTTGATAAACGTTTTTGAATCATTGCAACATCTCGATATGATACATTTAATTGGCAACAATACCACACATCAATACAGGAGAATTGTAAATCTATTTGTTTTGGATTTAGTTTGGAAATCTCTACATTGTATAAAACACAGTCGCTTCTTACTGTTTGTACGTTTAGATCTTTTAAACTACGCAATGGATTTTAAAGCAGTTTTCATCAATAGATAGAATGATTCAAGAGAAAGATTTATACGTGTAGTTTAATATACGTTTGTGCTAATTTGTTGAAATATGACGATAATTATTCAAGATGTCGGAAGAAATCAAATCTACTAAAATATCTTCCATCGAAAATGCTGAAATAAAATAAAATAATGTATGATAGAACCGTTCCTCTTTATTAGGGCTACAAAAAAGTCAGCGATGGCGTTCTATATTATACAAATTGCTTGTATGTATTTTAATAAAAAAAAAAATACAAATTATGTGAAGCTATTTTGACGGCTACAATAGTAATATTATTAACTTAGATTATATACATAGATAGAGAATAAAGCCTCAAAAACGGATCAAGTTTTTGTCAGTTTATTGTCAAATTAGCTGACTTGTTTTTTTCTCAGTTTTTTTTATATATTTACACATAAAATGTATCTTAACGTATTATTTAATAAATATAATGAGTGTTTACGTATTAAAAAGATGCAGAATTTATAAGACAAAAAAAAAATATATAGAAGTTATAAAGGAATCACTCATAACTAAATATATATCATGTAAAGTTGTATGAAAAAGTTGACTCATTTTTCTCGAAGCATTTCTATGGCGATATTAGATTATATACTCTATCTATATAATCTAATATTACTAATATATAAGCCTTTTCCATAAAAGAAGCTTTGCCAGTAGTTGCTAAACTTGGCAGGCGGGTTGGCAAACGCAAAACCCCCATTAGACATTTTAATAAACATGTGTATAAAATTTTTTTATGCAACTTAGAATGGCAAACAAGCTAACGGCCCACCTGATGGATAGTGGTAACCGTCGCCTATAGACATGAGCAGTACCATGGACATAACAGAGTTTCGCCCATGATACCTCCCATGCGTTGCCATTCCTGAGGACTCAGGTGTTATTACTCTGTACCCTGTAAATTCACACCATATTCCACCCTTCAAACCGAAACACAGCCATCCAAACACAACTGCTTCACGGCAGAAACACGAATAGGACAGAGGTACCCAAGCAAACGACTTTTGTACAAAGTCTCCCTCTGGTATAGCTATGATATAGTTAGTTAAATATAATATAATACCATAATGATTTTATTTACGATTATTATTATTACTTTTTACGCAATTGAACCGATTTTAATAATTCTTTTTAAAATCGATAGCGTCTATTCCCGTGTTGGTCCCATTTTATTTTCAGCGCCCTTATGAGAAAGAATAAGACAGAGCATGTCGCGATCTTATTCTCTCTCACAGACTAATAATATGTCAGTGATACCGATTCTAAATATTAATTCTCGATTTATCTAGTGGGCCAGAGCAGAAAATCGGTCAAATCGAGTCGGACATATGCACTGAGGGTTCCGTGCAAATTATATTTAAAAAATATCTATTTTGTGATGTAAAAATTTATGGTAATCGGATTGTTCCTTTTTACTCTTGCTATAAAATATTGCTTCTTGCCAAATTTTTTGAGTCTATGTCAACGGGAAGCCCTATAGGTTTTCATTCTTTAGCAAATGTCAAAATAAACGTCAAATCCGATACAAACGGTCATATTTTTTGATTGCATTGACATAGAATCTTAATTTTTTCAGAGCCTCAAGAGATTGCAGACTTGGGTATTTGACATTAATTCCAGTTTGATATCTCCACGCGTTCCTGAGTAAAAGGGACTTGACAGGCAGACAGACGGACAAAGATAGAGTTCTAAATTAAATATTTTTACGTCACATGGCTGAATGCCAGAGGGAGATTTTGTACAAAAGTCGTTTGCTTGAGTACCACTGTCACAGTCGTGCTTTTGCTGTAAAGCAGTTGTGTTTGCATAGCTGTGTTTAGGTTTGAAGGGTGGGACATGGCGTGAATTTACTGGGTACAGAGGAATAATACCTGAGTCCTCAGGAATGGCAACGCATGGGAGGTATCATGGGCGAAACAGTACACTCTGTTATGTCCATGGTACTGTTCATGTCTATAGGCGACGGTTATCACTTTCCATCAGGTGGGCTTGTTTGCCATTCTAGGTTGCATAAAAAAACTGCAGTCTTTTTTAACATTAGATACTTTTAATGTAATAACTTGTATGCAGGCAAATTAAGTTATTATTCATACATTCATTGATTTATTCATTCATTGAACAAAGTAAAGTCTTCCTTCAGTTTTCCTTTTTAAGGCATGGAAATCTAATAACGTGCGAATCTCGAGATCGCTTGGGGCAATTCGGATGTTTTTTTTTAATAGTATTCGTTGAAGTCCAAGGAAAATTTTTATACGAGGCTCCCGTCTTCCCATTGAAAGTTACGGAACCCTAAAAACGTGAACGTAAATTCACATAACCATTTATTAATTGACTCACCAAAGAAATCATATTACACAGTCACCGCACGTAGGAGGGAAGGTTCCGTGTAGGACGATCATCTCGGATCCTGGCTGTTGGAAAGGCAGCCTTAACCCTCGACCGTAAGGTGCATTTATACTGTACTCTATTTAAATCAGGCTTGCCTTTTTTGGCGCAAAGGTCGTTCGCTCGGGTGTGGGTTTAAAAGTGTGTAAGACTAGGCTTATTACGTGGCTTCTACTGGGTAAATAAATGATGATGAAAATACAGCCGTTAACTGTCCATTGCTGAATAAAGGCCTTCCCCTTGGGGGGTTTTACCATAATTGCCGCTCTTGGCAGACGAATTGGTAACCGCAGTTAGGTTTTGGTGATGTTTCAAGAGGGAAGCTGCAGCCCCTGCTTCGATCGTTAAGTTCCCTTAGTCGTTTATTACAACACTTTTTTTTAACAAACAAGCTGACGGCCCACCTGATAGAAAGTGGTAACCGTCGCCTATAGACATGAGCAGTACCATGGACATAACAGAATATACTGTTTCGCCCATGATACCCCCCATGCATTGCCATTCCTGAAGACTCAGTCGTTATTCCTTTGTACCGTGTAAATTCACTACCATACCCCACCCTTCAAACCGAAACACAGCCATGCAAACACAACTGCTTCACGGTAGAAACACGAACAGGTCAGAGGAAGAACAGAAGAGAGTACATTTCAAATATAGATATAATGATTTGTGAATTATTTAAACATTTATTGTTGTTTTGACTATTTTTTTTATACCACTAAGGTGGCAAACAAGCATACGGCCCACCTGATGGTAAGTGGTTACCGTAGCCTTTGACAATTGATTGGTACTATTGCTCCTTATACCACTGTGTTGGATTAACTGGAAGAGATCTCTCTCAGAGATAAGTTTAACTCTGCTTACACTGTTTCTAATTATTATTATTATTGTATGTTTTAAACGTGAATCGTAATTGGCGTGAATTTACTGGGTACAGAGGAATAACACCTGAGTCCTCAGGAATGGCAACGCATGGGGGGTATCATGGGCGAAACAGTACACTCTGTTATGTCCACGGTACTGCTCATGTCTATAGGCGACGGTTACCACTTTCCATCAGGTGGGCCGTCAGACAGTTTGGCATTTTAAGTCGTATAAAAAAATAAATAAAAAACAATAATCCAATAAATAATATAAAAAAAAAAATTAACCGACTTAAAAAAAAGAGTTCTAGTTAGATCAAAACGTGTAATATTATAATAATAGTATTGTTATTTACAGAATAAGAGATATGTTCTTGTAGAAACACGAAAGTACAGAATCTTGTATCTAATAAGCACATAGAAACACCATTGTTGATATTAACAAGAGCGTGACGCGCTAGGGTTGTCTACCTTACGTTTGTTACTACAGGGATTAGGGAGTGGCGAACTGACAGCTCGATGCAAAGTGATAAAAATCGCTAGTACGAGGGGAAATAACGTAATCTGTATATTGGTATGTCAAGCAAAAACTTTGTACTTCTTTTTTATGAAAATCGCGCGGACGGAGATGTATGAAATTTGGCACACATAGAGAAAGAGTGAAGAATGGTAACATTTTTTTTTAATTATCCCTAAAATATATATTAAATTAATAAAAAATACACTACCCGCTGACATTGATGCTCCTTTTCACTTTGGATGTTGCTGGAAGACAACTCTATTACAGTTAAGCTCGCTTTTGTACATTTGATTCCACTCTGTCATATTTTTATAAATAATTGGTGTGTACAATAAAGTATATAAAAAAGTATTACACACACATTAACATGCATTTGACACACACGCACACGCACACGCACACACACACATGCATACATACTCTTTTGTTTATTGTTAAAGTCTATGGTCAAATTGAGAATAGATTAATATTGTTTGTTTTTAACATTATTCGTCTATAGTCTTACTGAATGTTAAACGTAACCATAATAAATTCATTAATTACATATGTTATGGTAGAATTTCGACTATGGGGCGACCACTAGTAATTAATGTTTTTTTTTATTCCACTACCATTAGTAGTGGTGAAGCAATTCAATAAGAATAACAATTATTTCCTTCGATATGTGAGCCGGGTCGCCGGCTGGTTTTTACCTCGCTTTTCGTAATTTCAAAAATAAGATAGGTACTCACCTGCGAACAATTCCAGCAGCTCTCTACAGGATCCGGGGTTCGATGGTCCGAAAGATGACACGGAGCACAGCCGATAAATATTATTTTTTAATTAAGTTGTAGGAAAGCGGCCAGTCGCGGTTACTCAAAACGAAGTTCGAAAAAGAAGGGCATCGGCGCGAGAGGGCAGCACCGACAAAGATCGGACACAATCGGTCCATAGCCCACAGATAACCACTAAAATTGCGAGCATGTAAAGTACCCATCCCTTATCCATAGCGAAAAGCGAGTAGGCGCAAATACTAATATGAATAATGTTATTAATTTTAAACTGGCGTCACCATTCTCCCCCAGCCTTGAAAGGATGCCTTTCAACATAACAACTATAACTATTACATCGCACTATAATAAGAAATTATACTAATATTTAAACTTTTACGGACTCCTGATGGAGTATCTAAACTAACTATAATTAAATAATACTATTGCATAGGAAGAGGACATAATTTCACGACAGGCCGTTGATAAGTACCATTTTTAGTCTTAACAAGTGCTATACGTACTATATTGTCCTTTCCCGGAAAGGTTTTAACTATCAGGCCAAGGGGCCAATACAATGGAGCAATATTGTCTTGCATTAATACAACAACCGTACCTTCCTGAATAGGCACTGACGGTGTATTCCATTTTTGTCTAACTTGGAGTGTGTGCAAATACTCGTTTCGCCATCTTTTCCAGAAAGATTGTACGATTTTATCCAATAATTCATACCGCTGCAGTAGGTGGTCAGACGATGTAATATTTGGATATGCAGGTAAATAGCTTAAAGGCACCACATTAAGAAAATGAGCGGGTGTTAAAACCCTGGGTTCCGAAGGGTCAGAACTAAGAGCACACAGTGGTCGTGAATTTAGCAATGCCTCAATCTGTGTGAGTACGGTCACCAATTCCTCATAAGATAATATTTGCTGACCAATTGTCCTATACAAATGGGTTTTCGTTCCCTTCACTATACTCTCCCAGCTACCGCCATGATGAGGGGCATTCCTGCAAATCATTTGCCAAGAAATACGGTTTTCCGCGAGCTCTTGTTTCCAATATTTTTTATACTCATTGGCTAAATATTTATGCAGTTCGCGTAAGTATGATTTGGCACCAATAAAATTGGTTCCGTTATCAGAGTGCATATATTTTACCGGACCACGACGGGACAGGAAACGCTTGAAAGCCGATAGAAAACTAGCAGTACTAAGTTCGGTAGCAAGTTCTATATGAACTGCTCTAGTAGTCATACAAGTAAATATACAAATATACGCCTTCTGGGCTTTAACACCACGACGACGCTGAGGCGTATATGAAATAGGTCCAGCATAATCACAACCAGTATGAATAAATGGTTTTTCTACTTGATTTACCCTACATGAGGGCAAATCAGCCATCATTGGAAAAAGAGCTTGAGGTTTTAAGCGAAAGCAAAAATAACATTGACGAATTCTCTGACGAATAATTCGTCGTGCAGATATAATCCAATAATTGCAACGCAAAAGGGACATTAATGTTTCAGGCCCTGCGTGACAATTCTTCCTATGATGGTAATCAATAAGAATGTCTACAATATGATCACGTCTGGGTAACAAGAAGGGATGTCTAAATTCATAGGATACATCTGCGTTATCCAAACGGCCACCAACTCGAATAACACCATTATCTAAGAATGGTTTCAATTGTCTAACTAAATTAGAACACAAGTTCGCAGCTGAAAGATCTGCCAATTCTTGTGCAAAATAAACACTTTGAAGTGCTCGTATTATGTGAATTTCAGCCTTAGATAAATCCTCGGCGCTTATAGGCCCTTTAGGTAATATTCTAGCAAATTTAAGTAAATAAACAACAGACCGAAGATATTTGCTCCATGATGAAAACTTGCGAGATAACTCAAATAATACATTCGATTTTGAATCACAAGTAGAAATTAAAACTACTGATTTTGCCTCTGGAATTGACTCACCTTGAGGTATAAAAGGTTTAATAGGCCATAAATCTTTCGGTTTACTTGCCCAAGGAGGGCCGTGAAGCCAAAGAGGGTGACTCACTAGTTGTGCTGGTGTTAGCCCTCGAGATAAACAATCACTAGGGTTATCTAATCCCCGAATGTGATAGAAATGTTTACTAGGCAAATTCTCATGTATTTTTGCCACACGATTGCCTACAAAAGTTTGCCATCGATAGGGCTCTGAGTGGATCCAACTTAATGCTACTGTTGAATCCGAAAATGCTAAAATCGTATGAACAGAAAACCGAGGCATGTAATTAAAAACAACCTTTTTTATGAGTTGTGCAAGAACTAAAGCCGCACATAACGCTAGTCTTGCAAGTGACACAATTTTTAATGGGGACACTTTGGACTTGGCACAAACCAAAGTGATTATATTGTCATTATTAGGAGTAGTAACACAGGCATAAACTACTCCGCCATACGCTTTCTCACTTGCATCAGCAAACCCAAGAATTGTCAACCTACAATTTTCTGTTACACCAATGTGACGAGGAAATTTAAGCTGCTCAATTAGGGGCAACTCACGTTGAAACTGATGCCATTTTTTAACAATATTTTCTGGGGGAGAATCGTCCCAATCAATCTTTGCTATCCATAAATCTTTAATTAATAATTTAGCGAAAAGTACAATAGGGGCCACTAACCCTAAAACATCAAACAACCGAGCAATATATGACAGTATATGTCGTTTAGTACATGGACGTTCATCATGATTAACCTGAAAGGTAAAATTATCATCGATGGGATCCCAACGTAGTCCCAAGATTTTGAAAGTATTGTCATCATCATCACTATCAAATGAGACACTCTGTGACAAATGCCTGTCTTCAGGTATTTCCTGTAATATACGATCTGAATTGGAAGACCATTTTGCCAATTCAAATCCCCCAGCCGTGAAGAGCTCATTTAACTCACGCACAGCATCGTTAGCTTTCTGTTCATTTATAATGGAACTAACGATATCGTCCATGAAAATATCACGAGAAACAATTTCTTTGGCAACAGGAAAACGATCGCCTTCATCCTCCAAAAGTTGTTGTATAGTACGTAACGCCAAAAAAGGGCTGGATCGCAAACCGAAAGCAACACGGTTATATTGATAAACCTTGATTGGTCCATTAAAATCAAAACGATACAAAATACGCTGAAATGGACGATCCTTTTCACGAACATGGATTGCTAAATACATTTGACGAACATCTGCCGAAATAGCAACTAGAAACAAACGTAAATTTAATAAAATAGAAAACAAATCCGCGTGCAGACTAGGGCCTGCATGCAAAATATCATTCAAAGACAAACCAGAGTCAGTAGGAAAACTAGCATTAAGAACGACTCTCAATTTTGTAGTAATCTTATCCTCACGAATAACAGCCCGGTGAGGAATATAATATGCTTTCTCTTGAGGCACAATATCTACTTCAGACAAGTATCCCTTTTTAAGGTGGTCAGTAATAACCTCATCATACGCCAACTTAACTGCTGGTTGAGAACGAAGCTTCGATTCTAATCGTAAATAACTGCGCTCTGCAGCCTTCAAAGAATTTCCTAAATTTTCAGAATCAAGTTTAAAAGGTAAAGCAACTTCATATTGACCGTAGCTAGTTCGCTTAACAGTTGATTTAAATATATCCTCAGCCTGTTTATCTTCTAGACTGAGAATAGGAGAATTTCCTAAGTCCTCAATTTCCCAAAACTTTTTTATTAAATTATTGACTTCATATGTAGCACAAAAACTAAGAGACGAAGTACACACTGTCGTAATAGGAGCATCACCAAGAACGATATAACCTAAAGTCGTCTCGATAGCACTCGGTTGGCCTGGGGCATTAACTATCTTACCCGGCAATAATACATTGGTAAACAATTGTACACCTATTAATAAATCAACTTCATTAGGGACGCTCCACGAATTATCTGCTAATGCAATACCCTCAAATCCAGATATTTTAGTAATATCTATAGGGCAAGTAGGCAATCTAGATGTAATATTTTCTAAAACAAGCGCTTCTATAGAATACTTTTTCCCATGTTGAATTGTGGAACGAAATACAAAATTAACGCTACCCTTTACAACTTGAGTAGAACCACCAATACCTTTAACTGAAGCTGATAAACTTTTATTGACAGATAAGCCTAGTCGTCTAGCACCCTTGGCAGATATATAATTTTTCTGCGAACCAGGATCAAGGAGAGCTCTAATAAAAATCTCTTTGCCATTACGACAAGCAGCAACAACCTTTGCTGTACCCAAAACTTCAGTAGTTGGAGATACAACTCGTTTTTCAGTTGACATTGTACACAAAGATACCTGATTATTTAAAACTTGGTGATCACCTTCACTTTCAAATTGAACTCCATTGTTCACTTTATTATTAATACATGGTTCAGTATTACTAAGAGCCACAGTGGCTTGCGATGGAGGCTTATTATTAAAATGGAGAATCGTGTGATGCTTTCCGTCACACTTACTACAAACATGCTGTGACGTACAGCGGGAAGACCAATGTTGAGAACTAAGACAATTAGTACACAACTTCTTATCTTTTACATATTGATACCTCTCAATGGGATTCAATTTTAAGAATTTATCACAATTTGAAATTTTTACATGAACTGCACTGTTGCAAAACAGACACTTAGAACGAGGATCACCAGTTGAAACATGTGCATGATTGGTACGCAAGCGATTACTGTTAGTAGATTTGCTAACAAATCTTTCATTTTTAATTGAAGGACGTGGTTGTGAGGTTCGATAGAGAACTTTAACATGTTCTCGCACAAAATGAACGAACTCCTCATAACCTGGCATACCATTATTATTCCGAATCGACATTTCGAAACTTCTTGCAGTATCAGGATCTAGTAACTTAAGACCCAAATGAACAAAAATAAATTCAGTTACATTTTCAAGCTTAAGTTGATTTAAGGCAGCAATTGTAGCTGCAAACTTATCAATAAAATCTTCCAGATTTTGTGCCGAAGCACCAACAAGAGGTTTCATTGAAAGTAACTGATTCAAATAAGAAGTACCCAATTCACGTTTATCATAATATTTAAGTTTTAACGTTTCCCAAACTGTTAAATAATTTTCCGCAGAAGGTACAACGCCTACAATTATAGACCTGGCTTTACCAGTTAATTGATTAAACAAATAATGTACTTTATCAGAATCTGTTAAATTATTGTTATCATGTATCATACGCTTGAAACTTTCGTAAAAGAAAGGGAACTGCTGTATATCGCCATTATAAAATGGTAACTCGATGCGGGGAATCTTCATATAATCATTACTATTAGACGTTACAGTTACAGCCTTTTCATTTAAAGGCTGTGCCTGAGAAGACTGGGATGACGCAGAAAGCTGATCATACACCAGGTTTATTTCACAGTATAAGTCATCAAATGAATCTAAACTCGAAAAGGAAGGTTCAAAATCTTTATTTAATTCAATATTCATCCAATTAATTTGTTCTACTATTTCCTTAAATTCAGAACGTAACTGTTCCAAGGTACGAACTTTACTCAAAAATTGTTTTTTAATAGTTTCATTTTTATAAATATCTGGTATTAAGTCATAAATGGCTTGCACCCGACTAAAAGAACGATCTCGTTGAGCTTCATACAATTTAATTTTCTTTTCAAGATCCTTAATTGGAACCATGGTAAGATAATTACTATAATATACAATTTAAAAACTAAATAAGATTTATTAACACCTCATATGTTTATATAAGAAACGATAATTATTTAAAAGTATTGTTTTTATAAAGTTATGTTTAATTTCAAGAAACCTAGTTAAAACTAACAAATTCTACTTCAAGTAAATAAATTATTTAAAATATTAAATTCCGTTAGAGAAACCTATAGGGACACCTCGTTATTACTAATGTTCGATTATAGGTCAATAATCATGTTTATTACAATTACCAATAGATAACCACTAAAAAAATTATGTATATTCTTAGTTCTCATAGTATCTATAGGTATGTACCTATACTAATTAAATAAAATTAAGTTAATTATTATTTTTCATAAATTCAACAAATAATTACAATACTCAAATATGTGTAAACGTTGTTTATACTTGAACAGGTATATAATAAATATCACTCATATCACTAAACAACAATTCTATTAACTTGCTAACACTTTCAATTGAATATAATAAATTTATGACGTGTCAGTAAATGCATAAACAATCGTTAAACAATTTTACCTAAACAACAGCAATATTCAAAGCAACACTTTTTGTTTAGTTAAGCTAATTTTGCATGGGATACCAATAATGTGGCGTTTCTTTTGAAATGAGATAAAATGTAAACAAACCGCAATGTAAAGGAATAGACCTAGCATATAGCAAATAACTTATTACTATTACAACTTCTACTACAAATGGCTACTAATTACATATAATTTACCTTTTGTACTGATACTTAAACTCCAGTATATACGAGAATATTTAAGTAATTAATAATCTAAATTAGAAAAAATATGACAAAATAATACTATATTTGCAACCGCTAAGTGTATATATTATACAAACAAATGTAATATGCACCTAATGTAATGCTGTCTGCATTACAGCAATGCAAATAGATGTGAACTATTCTTAAAAAATATAGGTATCCACAATATAGCAAAGTAACTTAGTGCTATATAATAAATATCTCTATCTTTAATAATCAAATATATTTAAATACATTTATAGTAACGAAGATGGTACGTGCACTATGCTTGTTTAAAAATAGCTTGATATACCGCAGAGATTGCGTAAATATGATATAGTTATTAAAACAAGTCCGCAATAGTATAACAAAGAACTTAGTTTTATACTACCTACACAAAAAATGTTAAAAATAATCTTCTAACAAATTAACTTATTGTTAGGCGTAATTATTATAGATACTACGACAAATTAACTTAGTGTCGAGTATTATAATATAGCTAAAAACCGCGACTAATAACAAAACACAACCCGATAACTTAGGTGTTATGTTGGCGTTTCAGTAACGCAGTGAACGCAAGTTAAATCTACCTACCTAAACGAACGTATTCAATTAACTTATGATACGTTTGTTACCTATTTCAATACAATTATACGTATTAAATTACTAGCAAGGCATCCAAGGTTCGATAGGACCAGAAAGAAATGGTGAAGCAATTCAATAAGAATAACAATTATTTCCTTCGATATGTGAGCCGGGTCGCCGGCTGGTTTTTACCTCGCTTTTCGTAATTTCAAAAATAAGATAGGTACTCACCTGCGAACAATTCCAGCAGCTCTCTACAGGATCCGGGGTTCGATGGTCCGAAAGATGACACGGAGCACAGCCGATAAATATTATTTTTTAATTAAGTTGTAGGAAAGCGGCCAGTCGCGGTTACTCAAAACGAAGTTCGAAAAAGAAGGGCATCGGCGCGAGAGGGCAGCACCGACAAAGATCGGACACAATCGGTCCATAGCCCACAGATAACCACTAAAATTGCGAGCATGTAAAGTACCCATCCCTTATCCATAGCGAAAAGCGAGTAGGCGCAAATACTAATATGAATAATGTTATTAATTTTAAACTGGCGTCACCAAGTAGGTATGTATGTGACTGTAAACACTCGTCTATGTAAAACTGACCACTGAATTAAAATGTGTACCATAAAAAAGTGACTCTATTTGTGGCAAAATCAGTTACTTTAATAACTACCGGATCAATCTGTAAGTATATCCTTTCAGAAAAAAAAATCCAAATTCGGTCCATAAATCACAGAGGTGCAAGGTAATAAAAAAAAAAAATAAAAAATAAAAATTAAATCCCACAAAAACAGACAGCAGTACTACAGTTCAGTAAAACTAGACATTTCAATTTAAAAGCTAAACAACTGAACAGATTTTGATAAAATTTCTACAAAACCTATTTGTAAGTATATCCTTTCAGATAAAACAAGAATTTTCTAAATCGGTCTATAAATAACGGAGTTATGGGGTAACAAAAGTCGATTGCTTAGGTACCTCTGTCCAATTCGTGTTCCTACCGTGAAACAGTTGTGTTTGCATGGCTGTGTTTCGGTTTGAAGGGTGCGATATGGCGTGAATTTACAGGGTACAGAGGAATAACACCTGAGTCCTCAGGAATGGCAATACATGGGGGGTATCATGGGCGAAACAGTATACTCTGTTATGTCCATGGCACTGCTCATGTCTATAGGCGACGGTTACCACTTTCCATCAGGTGGGCCGTCAGCTTGTTTGCCATTTTAAGTTGTATAAAAAAACAAAACAATCGAATTGAGAGTCGCAATTTTTTATTGAATTTATTTGAATACGAAGTTCAGTTAGAAATAAAAGAACACAAGATAGGTGACAACCCTAGCGTCTTGATACTAAATAAGCTCCACAGAACGGGTTATTAGACATACAAGATATTTAATTGCATTTTCAATAATAATTTACCATTTTATTATATTTTTAGGTTCTTCCCTTCCCACACTATGATTTATAATATATACAGATATTTTTCCATATGTTTTTATGTATGTAATTTCCTATCTTATCATTATGATCACCATATCAGTCTTTATATGGTCACTGCTGAACATAAGACACTCCCTTGGGACGTTTTGCCAGTAGTTGCCACGTTTGGCAACTGGATTGGCAACCGCAGTTAGGCTTTGGAGATGTGTTAAGAGGGACGCTGCTGCCCATCCTTCGTCCTCCCTTAGTGGTATCTTACGACAACCACGGGAAAGGAAGGGGCGGTCCATTCTATACGATGGTAGAAAGTGGCCGTGGGCATCATATTGAACAATTCCTCTGAGCACAATCCGTTGTACAGGCGGTAGAACACGCAGAGTGAGGCAAAATCTCTCCTAAGACTCAAGGTTTCGTACGGCTCGCCATCGACAGGGAGTTCATCCCCGTGTCCTACAGCCTCAATGGTCGCGTACAGCGCGGTTTCAGAGATGTTTCCTTCCACGAACACTCGGGTTGTAGAATGAGCTCCCTGCTGAGGTTTTCCCAAGAGACTACAGCATGGGGCTCTTCAAAAGGGGGGTAAAGAGGTTTCTTCAGGGTCGGCAACGCGCGCGTAATACATCTGGTATTGCAGGTGTTCATAGGCTACGGTAACCATTTACCATCAGGTGGGCCGTATGCTTGTTTGCCATCTCAGTGGTATAAAAAAAAATTCTGTACCGTTACCACACGGGAGTTTTAAATGTTAACGTGAAACTATTTTAACGTTAGTACTTATTCATTGACTAGGTACTTAGTATATGCACGTTTGAAGATGACGGTGAACAAAAAAAAAAACCACGGTTCACTGAACTGTAACGCTTCAATCATTCAATAGACAAGGACAGACTATACGGTGTAAGCTGCAAAGAGAAGCAATTCATCACATATCCACCTGTCTGGCACGACATGTCACAATTTGTCATTATTATTTTTGATAACTGCTTCGAACAAAAAACCATTTTGGACAGACTTTAAGGAGGTATTATTATATTCGGTCGTGTTTTTTTTTAAGTTTGTTACCTCGTAACTCCGTTAGTTCTAAACCGATTTGGAAAATTATGTTCTACAAAAAAAAAACCTGAATTCAGTTGTGGCCAAATCAATTTAGGCGTGCGTAATACCCCTGGTATTGCAGGCGTTCTTAGGCTACGGTAACTGCTTATCATCAGGCGGGCCGTATGCTCGTTTAGCACCTCAGTGGTATAAAAAAAACAGTTATTTTGATTTTAAAACTAAAATACTGAGTCGATTTTCATAAAATTTCTATGGGACCAATTTGCAATTATGTCTTTTTAGATAAAAAAAAGAATTTTCCAAATCGGTTTGGAACTAACGGAGTTATGAGGTAATAAACATTAAAAAAAAACACAACCGAATCGAGAACCTCTCATTTGAAGTCGGTTGAAAATGAGAGAATTCAAAATAAAATGGTCTCATTATAAGTACCCAATATTTAAATCGATAAGCAAGTGTTCATATCTAATTATAGTGAAACAAAGGTGATTTAATGTATTTATAGAGGAACAAAGGTTATTTAATGTGTTTATAGAGGAACAATGATAATTTTAACGTATTTATCCGCATATTGAATGCCCACAATTTCACGGTTTCGATTCTGCTCACGAACCTACTGGCCCAGTGTTGCGGTAATGTAACGCTACAAAAATTAATAGCCGGTGAAAAAGTGCGGTCGTATTTATTGGAGTGTGTAATTCGAGAATTTGGGAATTATTATAAAAAAAGCCTAGTCACGTGCGAGTTGAACTCACGCGTCGAGGGCTCCGTACCTACATAGATGTATTATTACACAAAGGAAAGATTTAATTGTTTGTTTATAACGGTTAAACTGAAAAAAAAAAAAAACTAATCAATCGAGTTGGAAAATTCTTTCGCCTACAGAAAAATCTGTAAGTAATACAGGATTATTTTAAAAAATTCTCTCTACCCGTGCGAAGACGGGCCAGATCGTTAGTTATAGCAGTTGTTAATTGTCCATTGTTAAATATAGCCTCCCTCATAAGGAGTGTTTAGCCAGTTGCCAACACGCCTGCCAAACGTGGCAACTACAAAACCTCCCTTATGATCTATCTTAAACCTAATTAAACCCTAAACAAAATTAGATACGCAATACTAGATGGCGCTAGAATCGAAAC